CGGAGAGAGGGCCTGAGAAACGGCCCTCAAATCTAAGGATTGCAGCAGGCGCGCAAATTACCCAATCCTGACATGGGGAGGTAGTGACAATAAATAACAATGTAGGGCTCTTTTGGGTCTTACAATTGGAATGAGTACAATTTAAATCTCTTAACGAGGATCAATTGGAGGGCAAGTCTGGTGCCAGCAGCCGCGGTAATTCCAGCTCCAATAGCGTATATTAAGTTATAAGCTAGCGGGGTAAGTGGGTCTAGGTGTATCTCTAGCCGGGTTTCGAGGGAGTGATATTGGTGTTAAGTCAGGACAATCGGGGAGCGTTAGCCACCTTTTGTTGGACTGAATGTTTCAGACGATCACGGAGCTCCGGCCAGCTTTTGTTGGAAACAGACATTGGTATTACTAGTTGGAATTGTGGGATGTAGCATTGGTACTGGGATTAGCTGGAGACGGTATTCAGTTACTGTCGACGGTGAAACTAAGTGCTGGTGTTACTAAAAAGATAAAAGCTATAACAATCCTGGGTGATTGTTATGGTTTTTTATTTTTTTAAGAAATTTTTCTATGATAGAGTAATCACCTAGGCCCCGGGGTCATCTTAAGTTCTGCAACGCAGCATGACCTTTTCAAAAATGACACTTTCGGTATAAATCCATGCTTAGATAACACAGTTAGCCACACAGTCTTTAAGGACGAGTGATGATGCTTTCATATGCTTGTTGACCTATTGTGCACAAGTACTCTCCGGAGGAAAGTGCGCAAACCCACGTCATCCTTGGCTTAGCACATCTCTTTCAGGTTGAGCGGTAGGAGTCTTTATGGCTTTGAGGTAAGCAAATTGGCAGAACTAAGAGGTAAGTATACAAGCATTAAAAGGATTATACTGAGATTGACTACAAAACCCGACATGACTTCTAAGTTATAAGAACTAAAATTGAGTTTTTGTCATCAATATAGCAGTACCTTCTCGTGGTCCTCCCTGTACATTCATACATGTCTAAACTGCTACTACTTAAAAGTCAACTTTAAAAAATTACTTTCTACTAATCAACGGTATATATTGATACCTGTTGACACTTCAATGATTTTTTTTTTCTTCATAATAATAAAAAAATCAATATGTTTGAAAAATTAGGTAAAAGCCCCATCAATGACAACATGCCAAAGTGCGGAAGGAAGAGATGAGCGCCCAATCTAGTAAAACATGACAACTGTGATGAATTCAATTTCTCACATCCTTAAAAAGCGCATTATGCACTTTGTCCACTTGATAGAAATTAATTTTTCTATTCCTCAACGACTATTTGTGACTCACTGCGTGAGTCATAAATAGTCATTTTATCTTCATGTAAAGGAAAATAATAACAACTAACCAATGTCAAATACGAAAGTACGCATTGTCTCAATGATGATTTTCTCGTAATACAAAAATCACTATGTTACAAAAGGTAGGTAAAAAATCACATCAATGAAAACACGCCAGAGTGCGGAAGGAAGAGATGCGCACCTAATCTAGTACAACATAGATACTTGTGATAAAGTAGCTTTCTCACATACTCATCTTCACAAAGCGCAGTACGCACTTTATCAACTTAATAGAAATTAATTTTTCAATTCCTCAAAGACTACCTGTGACTCACTGCGTGAGTTGTAATTAGTCATCTTACTTTCATGTAAAAGAAAATAATAACAACTAACCAAATGTCAAGTACAACAATACGCATTAACCCAATAATGATCTTTACAATTCAAAAAGTCAATATGTTTGAAAAATTAGGTAATAAGTCACATCAAATTACGAGAGGAGGAGATGCGCGCCTAATCTGATAAAACATAAACACCTGTGATGAATTCAATGTCTCACATACCTATCTTAAGAAGTGTATAACTTTAGATTACGCATTTTTTACCACTTTATATAGAAGTTCACTTTCTATCTTCAAATAACTACATATGAGTCGATAATATATATATATATATACTCAACTGTTCCACGCAAGAAAATCATAAGTAACCCTCTTTCATTTCTTCTACAAAACTCCATTCCTGTTAAAAACATAAATAAACTCATTAAAAACTCCAATCCATATTGGGTATGCCACCAACTCCATATGATTAAAGTCACAAAATGAAACCGGATGACAAAGATCACACCCATAATTGAGGATAATTCTTGCAGATCAAACGCAGAAGTCAATTTACAATACATATTTACAAATCCACAAAGTCATACTTCACAAAATGACTTATCAAAAAACATGCAACCATCTACGGGAGAAGGTATTATATACACCTTCATTTGATCCCAAAAACCTATGCCCCCTTGTAAATATATGCCCTATGCCCCTGTTTCCTTTTTATCCTAAGTAACTGCAAGTCCATACCCTTCTGAATAGTAGAAGAGACTTGTAGATACCTCCAAATTATTTACTTCTCGCAGAAAAAAACTATACTGTGAAAGTACTACAACAAACAACTAAAAAGACCAAAGTTGTTTGATCAAATAAACCAATCACATGTTGTTAAATACACAACATATGGACTCTATGAAATAAGATTTGAATGCATCACCTCATCTTACACAATAAAGGTCATGCCCACCTACCATAACAGACAAATACCAGCACAAATCATTGGTATCAAAACATGCTATCACAGAATAAACCAGAACAAAGTCACAAAGTATATATACCACTATATTAGTGCAATCACAAACTACACTGATACTACAACAATAACAAGAATACATGACAAATACCCTCAAAATGTATCAAAACTCAAAATAGTATATAAGACAAATATATATACATATACTTATGACGTGCAAATGTATTAAGATCAGAAGGCCTAAGACCTACAAGAAGCCAAGCATAACAGCACTACATAATGCCAACATTATCCCCATGCCAAAATATAAGGCAAGAAATTCATACTACTGATACAACATAATAATAATGTTCAGACTCCTTAACCAAAAGCACCATTACCTCACTAAAAACATATACGTCATAGTCTATGATATAATATAAACACCTTACACAACTTTACCAAAAAGGAAATAAATCACAATCAAGTTTTTGAAACCAAGCGGGTTTGAACCACAGTACTGCGGTCAGCCATACTATGAGAGCCACAGGTACACCCTCTAACACATCGCTAATCATACATTGGAAGTCCTATGGCACCCTTCTTTATGGACACACCTATGAGTGACTATACAGTACATCTATGTAAACACATAACCCTACGTGAGCCCTAACATTGAGATTCTCTCATCATTTAACCTATATACCGGTACCGCTCAAATTCGGACCAACCTATGGGTTTCCACACAGTCCTGATCCCAACTAGATAATCAGGACTCCCCGTGTAACAACGGTACACCATAGATACCCGTTACCTACCTTCGAAAACATGTAGAATATCAGCTAACTGCTCCTTTTGAAACTAAAGGAAGAATCCTACATACCCAACGATTCGATATCACGGTTTCCAAAGAATACACCACTAGAAGACTTATCACTTCTTCGATACGCTTCAACACATTAGAAAATCAAACACATTATACACTAAAGGAAGATTCAAATACTTCAACAATCAAATCAACTCAGACATTACGTTAACTCAGCAAGACTTACTTCAACCGCTTGCTTCTTATTGATCAAATTAGAGTGTGTTATTAATGAATCAATCAACGCTTTTGCAAACCCTTAATCAGATAACCTCACTTCGATTAAACCTTCTCAATTGATTCTTTTCTATCTTCTAGCAACTTCATTAAGATCAATCAATGAAAATCAAACTCACAACTCACCTATCTTAAAATCAAACAAATCAATCTTATTAGTACAGAACTTCAATTAAATAAACCGCTAAACATGACTCAATCACCTTAATCAACTTAACCTGATCTAAAAAATCAGATCTCTAACTTCTAATGATCCATCGATATCATTAGTATTCAAGTACATAACTCTTTTAAACAATTCCAGCTTCTTCTAAATCTCCTATACTTAGATTTCCTCTCAAAAATCTGATTCTCCAACCATCCTCACCCTAACTCAACACTTCAAATACAAGTCTTTCTTCTCTTAAACTATTAGAACTCTTAATCGTAACAGCTCAAATTCATATAACAAACTCTTTATCATTATATACTAGAGTATCTTCTATTATCTCTTGAAAACCCTTACATCTACTCAAACTATTAATATACAATAGCTGAAATTCACCAAGATCACCTTTTCTCTAAAAGAAAATCGATCGATCGACTCAAATTAACATAATCAAGATGAACCATCAGTTAACTCCCATCTGGACTCACCCATCAGAATCTCTGGTTGATCCGCTTAATGAGAATAGGTATACTCTCTCTTCTACATTAGACCATCTTGAAAATTCACTAACAAAGAATCTTTCTTAGAACTCGTCCAATTAACTCTTTAGGAACCATACAGATGCTTTACCAAAACAAGGTATACATTCCTATCATCCTCTGATTCTCCTCCCTCTCGAATCAAATTCATCCAACTTGGAATCAGATAAACCTCTTTTCTAACTCAACATACGTGTTTTTCATTCCATTTCGATTAAAACTATACTCCCTATTCTCTATTTTACAAAATAACAACTTCCTCATCTTTAGAACGAGGTCAGTACCTCTCTAAACCACTCTCCATCCTCTAAAGAACTTTTTATTAATCCTCTTACTCACCTTCTGAACTATATACACTATCATTCCTTTAGATAAGCGATTTACGGCTTTTTCCTCACTCTCATACCACCATTCTACGCCTTCAGAACAACCTCTTTGCGCGATCGATCACTCTACCTTCCTCTTTTAATAGGAATAGCTATCTTTCCAGATTTCCTGGATTAACTCATCTTAGATTATCGTTAAAGTACGTTTAGAACCCCTACCTATCAGTCAGACTTATAACAACTAGTACTAATACCCATGTTTGTTTTTGATAAATCGGTCAAAACCATCTAGATCACCCATTATGACCCCTCAGATCACTCCTAGCGGTAAAAAAGACCTACCTCGACGCCCAAGAACTTCGTCAGCTAAGAAAATCAAACCCTACGAGTCTCCCTCCTTACTCAAACGCCAAACAAGGGACACCTCGCTCCCTCCTTCAAGTCTAGCTCTCCCGGTCTCTCCTATGCCTCTCGATCAGACCTCTCAAGCTTTAGTAGAGACTAATCAACAAAATGTAGAGATGAAGATTGATGATCCTCCTCAAGAATCACTTACTTTAGATCAAAAAGAACCTGAACCAACCTTGCCTGTTACTCAGAAGTCTACTGAGAAAGGTAAAAAGAAAAGAACTAAATCGAGTTCTTCTAGTTCTGAAGAATCAGAATCATCTGATGATTCTTCATCTGACTCTGCCTCTGGAGACGATGACGACGTCGACGAATCCGAATCTAAAAATCCTCTTCCTAACTCAAATAAAGAAGATGAAGACACTGATCAAGTAATGGATCATGCTGAAGACATTCTAACTCAAACTTCTTCTAAAAAGACTCATGGTAAGTCTTAGATCTCTCTCTCACGCTTCCAACTTAATCAAAGTAACTGAGTCACATCAATAACATGTCTCTATTAACTTATTTGATATAGAACTCGTCCAGACTAACAAAACGAACAGTTCTCACGAGGCCTACTTAAAGCATAGACAAAGCTTAAACAATTCTGGTACCAACATGCTACCTTATCGTACGTTATTTTATTGATAATAGCTCTTAAACAACCAAAATGACTAATAGATGACCATTTTACATCTCTATCGAATCATTCAATACACCTCTAACACACCTAACGCACGATATATACCTGATCTTCTTCCTTACTCGATTAAACCAACTAATCATTCCTTCAACATCATTAATTCACAACTTCTAATGAATCTTCATATGAATTTACTTCACATACTCATTCTTTACCTATTACTTATCGTTCAATTGACTCGATCTGGATCAAAAACTCCTTTAACTCAATCACTCTATGGCTTATCTTACTTTGACCTATTTTAAATCGATTCGATTCACTAAACCTCATCTTAATTACCCAACTTCTCCACTTGATATCCATTCATACTTCTTTATCTCTCTACTCTGAAATATCTAGCGGCACCGGGTTCTCTTGTTCTACGTACAGTTAATCCTCTCAAGTATTCATATCAAAATGAATTTGCTTTTACATGTGATCTTCCTTACGAAATTCAATTATGGTGGCAAATCAATCATCATAGACATATCAGCGTGGATGATAAAGCTCTATGGGCTATAGCTACAGTTCTTAGTCAAAGCATAAGATCAAATCAGTTTGAAGAAGTCAAAAGAACACTCAATCACTGTATAAACTACATCAAAATCATTCCTAACGTAGCCGGTTCAAGATTCTTCTTAGTTCGTTTTAAAACCTCAAAAGCTAAGGATGAACTCTCAAACAATGCTCGACACGATCGAGGAGTTTTTGTCTCCTATCAAGGCTCTAAAAAACCTTCAACTGTCCTTATCTTTCAGTTAGATGCGATTACTAAGTCAACTCCTAAGATGAGAAGCCTTTTAGTTACTATGCATGGCCTGCCCTTCCCTTTATTCAATCGTCTCATATCAGATACAATCTTTGGTTCAATTGCAGCTCATAAAAGCAATAAACTACTACGACTTAAAGGCGTTCGAGAACTCAACAGTTACCCAACCTTTGCTTACGGTGGTGGTCGAGTCTTTGAGGTTATATTTAAACGAAAGGCAACTCTTGAATGGTTCAAACTTCTATCACAACCAACTCCAATTACAGCTATCGGTTGGAACTTTAAAGGTGCAGGAACAAAAGACCTTTACCTACTCAACATTCGACATGTTCCTACTTGTTTCAACTGTGGAACTACTACTTATAACTGTTCTCACTCAGATGGTTGTCCTTTTATTACTATTAGAGATGCCATTATTAAAAGTCTTAAGAAAGAAATACCTTCAAAAATCGAAATCTCAGAAGATGAAGATGAAGATTCTGAAGACTCTGAACCTTTGGCTTCAACTTCAAAAGCCAAACATCAAGTAAAAATTGGCAAATTTACTGTTAGAGATTAAATTCTCTTTTTGATCTAAATAAAGTAAGTTATGCTTCTAAATTACTTTGACCTCTTCTTTAAACCATATTAATATTAATGGTTCAATCCTTACCTTTGTATAGAAATGACCAAAATGTCCTCTTTGTCAAATCTAAGTAAGTAAAGCTTACACTTCCTCATTTATTGATCAATCACTTAACTAATATAAGTACCTTCTAAAAACAACTTCTCATTAGGAAAATCGAATCAAGTTCTTGAAGAACTCTTTAACTTAGTAATGTAGAACATTACTATTATCAAATTATAAAATTGGCTAAGACCAAATGAAAAAAATTCTTCTTCTCAAATATTTTCTGTTTCATCCTTGAATTTTCTGATCAAATATCACTACACCAAATGTAATCTTTACCGGGCGGTAAAGAAAACTACTGACATAGAAAAGTCCTGAGGCAACAGGAAGAGAGCTAAAAATCTGAAAAAATATGCACCTTGTTCCTAGATGTTGGGGCATCATGATGAGTATTTTTTTGTATTTTACAAGCAGATATTGGTTTATGTACTAACAATAAACACTAAAATCATCAAAAACTCACATGTAACAATACCTGAAATTTGGGTCATGAGTATGAAGACAATATTTTGTGGTCTAAAAACTTCAATAACTTTTGCAATTCTGCTCCAAATAACTCGATTTTTGGTTCATTCAAACGCTGAACTATTCTCCTTCACACTTCATAATGATAGTAAGGTGCTATCTAGTCATGTAAACACTCTACATATGTTCAAACAGTTCTGCATGATTAGCTCTGTAGGATCTTTTTTAGACCAGCTACAGATGTGATGTCTGAATGAAAAATATAGAGGAAAAGCTCACCTTTTTAATGCACTTCAAATCGAGTGATTTGATTGAGAACTGCAAAAGTTATTGATGTTTGAAGATTCCAAAATCCTGTCTTCAAAGTCAAGGGCCAAATTTCAGGTATTGTTACAGGTGGGTTTTTGATGATTCTCAGCCTTGATTGTTAGTACATTAACCAATATCTGTGTGTAAAATACAAAAAAATACTTGTCATGACGCCCCAACATCTAGGAACAAGGTGCATATTTTTTCAGATTTTTAGCTCTCTTCCTGTTGCCTCAGGACTTTTCTATGTCAGTAGTTTTCTTTACCGCCCGGTAAAGATGACATTTTGTGTAGTGTATGTATCCAATCTCTACTCATACAAACTAAAAAATGTGTGTGATCAAAAATTATAATAAAACTACAAAAATATGTTGCTATTTGTTGATTGAAAAATGATAATCCCCACTCTTAATCCCCACTCTTGTCCAACTAAAAGATTAACCCAAAAGAAAAAAGAGGTTAAAAGCGCACTAAGAACAAAGTAAATAACGAACTTTACTTGAAATCAGTGACTCTACAAATATAAAAGAACAGAGTCTAAAAGTATAAGTTGAAGGAAATAATGACTCAATAAGACAAATAGAACAAAAAGATGACTATGTATTCATCATCTGATCAATAAGAAGTCTAATATAATTAGGCTAACAAAATATACAAAAAGGACAAGCACTCAAATAATAAAAATGAAAGAACCAAACCTCATGACTAAATACCCAAGGAGTTGACTGGGGTTTCAGAAGACGTTAAACATAATCATAACCTTAAAGACTTCTACCAATAAAAAAGTTTGTGTTCAATATACAAAAGCATACTCATTAATAGAAACTACTTGAATTCAACAAGTCAAAAAGACTGGACACACCGTGCATATAATGATACAATCACAAATCTAACAAAATAAGGTATTGACTTAATACACAATAAAAACTGTTCCATACATTGAGTCTTACTAAATGCGGAAAATATTCACAAATACAACTTAATAACAAGTTCAACTACATTGACAATAAACATTTGTCATGAAGAAAGTCATATTAGCTTACACAAAAAAATTATATATATAACTTCTAATAGTGAAGAAGACCACACAACTCCACCTGCAGCAAAGTCCAAAAAAGGAACCAACATAGAGATAAGTAGGAACATAGAGAGAAAGTTTACCTATCGACTAATGAACTTCAATAAGTCAAACAAGTCATCATATCTCAAAACAAACTAAGGGGTACTACACGAGAAATGCCACACACTAAATAGGATCAGATAAAACCTCGTGAATCCTAAAAAGCCACCTGAGAGGGCTATATCTCTCAGGCTCACAATGCAACTATGATTGGTACACCCTCTAACATTAGTTGTCCGGGATTGGGTGAGATGAGCCCCGGCTCCCTGTCAGTTGTGGAGGGACTGAACTTGTATGGTGAATTGCCTCCGCCAGAATCTGTCGCTCTATCTCAGGGCAATTCTGGGACTAAGGCTACTGAGTGGGCTAGTACTCATTGCTCCCTGAAGGATGATGTACGAGCTAAAGTTACTTTGGGGGTCAGTCCTCCTTTGGTCCGCCAGGGAGAGGGACTGCCATGTGCTACTGGCGGCGTCATCAACAAGTCTCTTAGTAATGACTTGATGACGGAAAGTAACTCTAATGTTTCATTAAGCAGAAACGCATCTAATTTAAGACAACAAGAATTTGTCGCCCAAAGCTCTTCAGTGAGCAAACCCTCTACATCTGAAAAGAGATCTCATGACTCTCAGACTCTAATACCTGGACCAGAATTATCAGGTAACCCTCATACGTACCTTGAGAAAGGTAAATGGAAAGCAGACAATAAAAATCCGTCTGTAACACCTAAAGCGCAAATCTGTGTGAATGATATAACAAGAAATCACGCAAACCCCTTTAAAAAGGCCTCAGCGCCTAAACAAAAAGAAGATATCATCATTAAAGATGGTAGAACATATAGAAAAGATCCCAAAAAGAATATCAAACTCACGGGCAAACAACTACGTGAACGCCGACAACAAAAGAAAACTCAAAAAGAGATTTCTAAGAAACAACAAAGTACCATTGATAGGCATTATGAATGTGTTACACTTAAAAAGGGGAAAAACAAACACCGCGACGTAAAAAGTGATATAGGAAATATTATCCGTCACGCAAACCAGGGTCACAATGATCTTGACTCAAATGCGCAACAAGATGACACATCTATTGCAAAAGCAAACCTGGCAGAAACAATTCGTATTAAGAAACGAAATGGAGAGATGCTCACAAGAGACGAGTTGCTTGGAAAACTAACGTCAAACCGCAATACTACTGTTAAAACAGTACAGCCCACACAATCCACTACTATAAGTAGGAATCACCAGAAAACGGTTTCAAAACAAAAACCGCGTCCCTTCAAAGTTGTCCCAATGGACATAAACATTGAGAATGAATTGGGATCTCAACCCGATAGTACACCAATGAACATTGATCCAATAGAACAAAATCCGGTTCAACCCTCTTACGCAGATATAGTGAAAAAGAACACTATCACAATCCCTCCGCAGACCACAGAAACTCTGCAAAGTAACTCTACGCTGACTTGCAATAAAGGCGTTAAACAAGCTGAAATCAAATATAATCTCAAGAATTCAGTAAAATTCACCCTTAACAACACTGGAAATTGTACAAGTGTTGATGTATGGACAGTCATAAAACATAGACTGACTGAAGCACAATATAAAAAAGTTGTTGGAGTAATGAAAAGAAGCAATCCATTCCAACAACCCGCCTTCAATATCTGCGTCTCACCAGATATTGCACCAGGTTTCATCAAAATGATGCAACTTACCCCCCGAGAACGCCCAAGTGGTGTTCCTCCAACTTTTTGTCATACAACCAAAAAACCAAAAAAGGGCGGACCAAACACCTTAAACTGCTTCAGCACTACCAAATGGCGCGTTAACTTGTATAAATTGTACCGTGATGATGTTCCTATTTTCAACACATCAATCCCTAAACCTCCCGAGGTTTCTACAAAATCCCACGGATATACATCCCTTCTTGCGTGGAATGCCAATGGCTTTAATAACAAAGCCACAATTCTTGCGTCCTTAGCGGAACAAGTCACCGCCGGTGTAATTGTCATCGGAGAACATCGTAGAACAAACCTGAAATACGAACCCAAATTAGATGGTTATCGAACCTACTCACACCCCGCTGAACAAGGCTTTTATGGACTCTGTATGATGGTCCACAATGATATAGGTGCCTATGAAAAACCTACAAAAGACCCCAGAATACAACATCTGGTGGTTACACATCTTGAGCCAGATAGTTTATGGCACATCTTTGGAGTATATCTCCAGTCCGGATCCAACAAAGGACAACATCGAACAACCCAACTCAAACCTGTGTGGGAAGAAATCAATGATCTGTTAGAAGAAGATCCCAACTGTAAAATTGCCATCGGTGGTGATTTCAACATGCCCACAGAAAAATTAGCAAAGACTGCTTTGAGGCAAACAGGCGGCCGTATGAGCATCAAACCCTGCTGCGGCTCAAACTTTACTCGTCTCCCAAAGAGAGGAAAATTCAATGATATAGACCATTGGTTAATTTCACCAGCATTACAAGAAATTACTTGTAAAACCAAAGTAAGTCGACAAATGTCACTCAAATACAATGGCGCAAGTGATCACGCCGCCATAAGCATGAAGATTTGAAAAAAATTTGTTACTACACCACAACCAAGTTTGAAATGGGACTTGAAACTACTCAAAGGACATGGAACAGATGTTCTCACAGATGAGGCATGGAAGACATTCCCCACATCAGGTACTCTCGAAGAAAAGAGTACTGCTTGGACATCGAATCTTGTAGAGTCCGCCTCGAAATGGGGTGCAGTAAAATACTCAAAACCCCCACGTGCTATTCACTTTCCAAGAAACATAGCAAACCTCCTTAAGAACGCCAGAAAAACCAAGGCGCTCTACCAAGACGCACTGGGCAAGAAAACCCCGCTCAGTGAAATTACTAAATTGACAAAGTACGCCGAAAAAGCTAGTAGACTTGCTAAAACTGCTATTAAAAAGTTTGAAAAAGATCAGGCCAAGAAAAAGGCTGAAAAAAC